GTTATTGTTGTTAAGTGACAACAAGTCAGTTTCCACTTATAGCAACCCTGAATAGGGTTTCCAAGGAGTGGGTGGTGAACTTGAACTGCTGACCTTGTGGTTCAAACCGACCTTGCAGTATAGCACATTAACCCAAAATGCCACACCAGGACTACACATATTGCTGTTGTTGTTAAGTGCTGTTGAGTCGGTTCCAACCCATGGATACCCTGTGTAGGGTTTCCAAGGAGCAGCTGATGAGCTTGAAAAGCCGACCTTGCAGTTCAAATGAGTTTGAAGTCTGGTGCATTAACCCACAGTGCCACACCAGGACTCCAGGACTACACATACATTACCGATAATGCAGAATTTTGTATCTTACAGTATTTACCTCTATTATCTTTAACGCTTACATTCTTCCTGTGTCTTCACTTGCCTGTATCATTTTTTTTTAGTAACCTTCTCTCTTATCATATATTGCCTCCCCTTTCATTCAAGATAACAGGTTAACCCTTTAGCCAGTGAATCACTTCTCCTTTCTTTCCACCACTGGTAACCATCAAATAGTTTCTTTTAGTGAGAAAAACTTTTCTTGACTTTTAACAATAGCGACCTCATAGACTGTCTTTTTGTGACTGACTAACTTTACTGAGCATAATAGCCTCCAGGTTCTTCTATGTTGTGAGGTGTTTTGCAGATTTATTATTATTTTTGGATGTTGTGGAGTATCCTATTGTTTTTATACATCAAAGTTAATTTATATATTGAAGGGCACTTAGATTGGTTCCATCGTTTTGTTATTGTGAATAGTGCTGTAATAGACACTGGTGTGTATATAGCTATTTGTGTTGTGACTTTGACTATAGAATATATACGAAGTGCAGGGATTACTGTGTCATGCAGAGTATCGAGTTCCAACTTTTGGAGAAAAAGCCATACAGTTTTCCACAGTGGTTGCACCCTTTAGTCCTACCAGCAGTCTGTGATGGTTCCAGTTTCCCACACCCACACCAGCATTTGTGATTTTCTCTTTTTTTGAACTTTGCAAATAATGTTGGGTTAAGACGGCATATCTTTGCCATTTTGATTTGCGTCTCTCTAATGACATCAAAAACTGCTATTCATAAGATTTTCAGTGACTAAATATTTGGAAGTAGTTCATCACTCCTTCTTCCTAGTCTGTCTTTGTCTGGAAACTCATCTGAAACCTGTCCACCATGGATGACCCTGCTGTTATTTAAAATGCCAGTGGCATAGTCATGGTATTTTCAATAACCTTATATGCATGCGAAAGCTGGACAGTGAATAAGGAAGACCATAGAAGAACTGATGCTTTTGAGTTATGGTGTTGGAGGAAAATATTGAAAGTGCCACGGGCTGCCAATAGAACCTATATATCCGTTCTGGAAGAAGTGCAGCCATAATGCTCCTTGGAGGCCAGGATGGCCAAACTTCATCTCTCATACTTCAGACATATTGTCGGGAGGGACCAGTCACTGGAGAAGGGTGTCATGTTTGGTAAGATGGAAGGTCAGAGTAAAAGAGGAAGCTCCCCAACGGGATGGATTGGCCAAGTGGCAGCATTGATGGACTCAAGCGTGGCAACAATGGTGAGGTTGGCACAGGATCAGATGGTGTTTTCTTCTGCCATGCATAGGATCAGTATGAGTTGGTATCAACTCAATGGCACCTAACAACAACAACAATGACATCATTGGAACCCTGGTGTAGAATTGTAGGTTAATCTCTGACTGCTAACTACAAGGTCTGACCTTTCACACCCACCATCTGCTCCTTTGAAACTCTATATTGTGTCAATATGGGTTAGAACCAACATGACAACAAAAATGGCTAATGATCATGAACATTTCTTTATATGTTTGAGGGCATCTGAATGTCTTCTCTGTTGGTGTCTGTCCATACCCTCTACATATTTTTAATTGGATTATTTGTCTTTTTCCTGTTAAGTTGTTTAAGTGTTTTTCTTTTAATTGAACACAATAATTCCTTTTCTCATATGTCATTACCATTTTTTTCTCCTGTCCTTTTTTTTAATACTTTGGTGGAATATTTTTACAAACATTAGTGTTAATTTCTAGGAGGTCTAAGTCATCTTATTGTCTTTTACTCTTTGTGTTTTATTATATTTAACAGTGTAATTTGTCATTTATCAGGGTCCCTAAGCTTGTCCCTCATATTATTTGCTCAGCATACGTACGGGTTGAATAAGTATGGTGAAAGAACACAACCCTGTCGCACACCTTTCCCAATTTTAAAACATTCAGTGTTCCCATGCTCTGTTCAAACAACTGCTTCTTGGTCCAGGTGCAGATTTCTCAGAAGTACAATTAAGTGTTCTGGAATACTCATACTTCTCAATGTTGTCCATAACTTGTCATGATCCACACAATCGAAAGCCTTTGTGTAGTCAATAAGGTATAGGTAAACATCTTTCTGATATACTCTGCTTTCAGCCAAGATCCATCAGACATCAGCAATGATATCTCTCGTTCCATGGCCTCTTCTGAATTCAGCTTGAACCTCTGGAAGTTCTCTGTCAATGTATGATTGTAGCCGTTTCTGTATTACCTTTAGCAAAACTTTACTTGCTTGAGATATCAAAGAGATTGTCCAATGATTTCCGCATTCTGTTGGGTCACCTCTGTTTGGAATGGGCACAAATATGGATGTCTTCCAATCAGGCAGCCAGATAGTTGTCTTCCAAATTTCTTGGCAGAGATGAGAGTACCTCTTGTGCTGCCTCACTTTCTTGAAAGATTTCAATTTTTATTCCATCAATTCCTGGTGCCTTGTTCTTTGCCAATTCCTTCAATGAAATTTGGACTTCCTCCCTGAGTATCATTGGCTCTTGTTCATATGCTGCCTCTTGAAATAGTTGAACATTAACCATTTCCTTTTGATACAATGACTCTGTGTATTCCTTCCATCTTTTCTTGATGCATTCTGCATCATTCAATAATTTGCCCAGAGAATCTTTCAATAATGGAAGTCGAGGCTTGAAATTTTTCTTTAGTTCCCCCAGCTTGAAAAATGTTGACCTTGTTCTTCCCCTTTGCTTTGCTAATTCCAAATCTTTGCATATTTTATTATTTGGTTTTATCTTCTCGAGCTGATCTTTGAAATTTTCTGTGCCATGGACAGCCAAAAACACAAATGTATCTGTATTGGAAAAAGTACAGCCAGAGTGCTCCTTGGGAGCCAGGATGGCCAGATTTCATCTCTCATACTTCAGATATATTATCAGAAGTGACCAGCTACTGGAGAAGGATATCATTTTTGGTAAAATGGAGGGTCCAAGAAAAAGAGGAAGACACCCAATGAGATTAGTTGTAACAGTGGTGACAGCTGTGGCCTCAGGCATAACAATGATTGTGAGGTTTACCCAGGACTGGACAGTGTTTCTTTCTGTTGTGCCTAAGGTCACTATGAATAGGTATCAGCTCTGTGACACCTAACAACAACAATGATGAGTCAGAATCAACTCAATGGCACTTAATAACAAAAAGAAATGTTTCATTCACAAAATATTTGGGATTTTAGGTAAAGAAGGTTAGTCAGTTTCAATATCAAGAAGACTGAGCATTTGGTATTCCATGAAATTCTCAGTTAATACAGTTAATGGGCACTAGACCTAAAGGAGCTCTGGTAGCATAGTGGTTACGAATTGGGCTGTGAACCTTAAGGCCAGCAGTTCAAAACTACCAGCAGCTCCGCAGAAGAAAGATGAGGCATTCTGTTCCTGTAAGAATTTACAGCCTCGGAAACCCTGTACAGGGTTGCTATGGGTCAGAATGACTCAACGGCACTTAACGACAACAACAACAACAACAACATACCTAAAATATCATATAGGAATTAGTTAATTAAACTTGCTTAAATTATAAAGAGCCCTTTTTTGGTGATGTAGGATACGTACTGGGATGCTAACTGCAAGGTTTACAGTTCAAACCCAATAGTCTCTCTTTCAAACCTCATACAAATTCATTATGAGTCAGAACTGAATCAATGACACAAAACAACAAAGTATAAGCAAACCACTTTTGTCAAATTTTTATTCTTTGATTATGACTATATTTACATTGCTCTTTTGTCTTTTCCACTAGTTTCATCAGCTACATGGTGCCAGAAAACCAAACACGTATTTCAGAATTTATTCTCTTGGGGATTTCAGAAGAGGCAGATCTACAGCCCCTCCTCTTTGGACTGTTCCTGTCAATATACCTAGTCACCTTCACGGGGAATTTACTCATCATCCTGGCCATCATCACAGACTCCCACCTCCACACCCCCATGTACTTCTTCCTCTCCAACCTCTCTTTTTCAGACATTTGTCTAACTTCCACCACTGTCCCAAAGATGCTGCTGAACATTCAGATGCAGAACAAAGTTATTACCTATGAAGAATGCATCATTCAGATGTATTTTTTCATGCTGTTTTTAGGATTAGATCATTTCCTCTTGATAGTGATGGCCTATGACCGGTTTGTGGCTATCTGTCACCCACTGCACTACATGATCATCATGAACCCCAAGTTCTGTGGTCTCCTGATTATGGCACCCTGGTTACTGAGTGCTCTGGAGTCTCTATTACATAGTTTAATGGTTTTACGACTGTCTTTTTGTACAGAATTGGAAATCTCCCACTTTTTCTGTGAAATTAATCAAGTAGTTCAACTTGCTTGTTCTGATACATTCTTCAATAACCTAGTCATGTATTTTGCAACTGGACTTGTGGGTGTTATTCCACTTACTGGGATCCTTTACTCTTACAGTAAGATTGTGTCCTCTATATTAAGAATTTCATCAGCTAAGGGCAAATATAAAGCTTTTTCCACTTGTGGGTCTCATCTCTCCGTCATTTCCTTGTTCTATGGGACAGGTTTTGGAGTTTATCTCAGTTTATCTGCTACCCAAAACTCCAGAGCCATTGCAATAGCCTCAGTGATGTACACTGTGGTCACACCCATGCTGAACCCCTTTATCTACAGTTTTAGAAATAAGGACATAAAGCAGGGCCTAAGAAAACTTTTCAGCTGAGAAATATTCTTTGCATTACAGAATGATTTTTTCTTAAGACTGCAAAGTTACTCCTGAGCAAAAGAGTTCAAAATCATGATGACTTAAATCCTACTTTTATCAGCTCACAAGTTTGCATTATTTCCAGAATCAAATTTCCTTTGTTTTTGTATAGTATAAGCAATTTCTTCTTATCTATTTCTTTCAAAATTAATTCTGTAAACCAAAATTTTCACTACACCAGATAAGTTATTCATGTTGATTACAGATGACTCAATATAAAACAGGTCTTCCACTGGAGGCCATCGAATACCAACATCCAATCATCCCATTGGAACAGCATTGTAATTGTCCTCAAGTTATGATACCAACTTCTAGAATCTCATTTTGGAGTTCATTTCCTGTGATCAGTCTGGCTTGCAATGTTTGACCTCTATGGGTTATTTGCTTAAAGTAGAATTCTTCTTAAACATTTTGAGTAGAAACTTTATGATTATGTACTTAGTGAATTGTGAAATGAGCTGCTAGTTGGAGATGACTCCCAGACAGTAGTAAATACTGGGTCAGCTAAGGGCAGTGATATCATCAGGAAGGATGTGGAATCTAGAAGATACCACTGAAATTATTGGTTCCATGAGCAGGACACATTTTCTGCAAACCAGATAGTATGAATATTTTATTTTAATTTTTAGTTCAAGACTCACTATGTCAGCTAGATTTGTACTCATTTAATAAAGTGTTGCCACATCACTTCTTCATACCTAGGACACTATTAACCTGGCAGTTTGTCTTCATTTTTTCTAAATTACCCAATGCTTTCCTACTATTCTTATCCACATAATTGATTAGAAAAAAGTACCTGAATGACTTTTTTCCTCTGATTCTCTGCTGTACATTTGGCCAATAGCCTTATAATCACATATTAAACTCTTGACTTTGATGATACTAGAAAAT